TGCATTACAAATACGAGTGTTTTTTTTTACATATAACTGTTAATTTAATAAAAAATGTATTTATATACGTTTTATATAATACAATTCAAGAATAAATCTATATTTAATAAATGTTTAATGTATTCATGTTTCAATTATCACCACTATAAATAAAAACTAACTAAAAAAAACTAACTACGCGTTAGGTTAGAAAAATTCAATATTGTATGCACTAATTTAAAATTAATAAATTATTTACTTCCATACATAAATCAATATGCCATGCAAACAATTATTCTTAATGAATCAAAATGTAGTGTTTTGAGTTAGTTTATTGGTTGTGGTTAATTGTGTGACCTACCTGGTTATAAAAATGTAGCTCGGAGGACTTAAAAATATTCAACAAGTATTGTATAATTATTCGAATGTAAGAAACATCACCATTCCTCTTTAAGGCTGCCTAGTGAGTAAAATAGAAGTATAATTTATTCATAAACTAAATGTTATTTAGGAATACGTCACATAACTTAATTTTGTGCGAATGCATCTGTGTGTGTGTGTGTGTGTGTGTGTGTCAGTGCTTGGAATGAACGTGTTCAAAGGAACTCGTTCTTTTCATTTTATTCCATTCTTAGGAACTTATCAACTAGGCCGACCGCAGGGGAATTCCGGGAGGGGATCCCCTCGTACTTTTAGATAATAATTTGTATAAAAATGTATTGCATTTATTTGCATTTTATACAGCAGTCTTGGAGGGCGATAAGAAGGACTAATAAGGTGACATAAAATTGTTCGTCAATATCATTATTCGGTATTTAGTTTTAAACATGGTTGCAGGTCCATATAATAGAGTCACTCTGTGGTTTATATACAATTGTGGTTTTCACTAACTAGAACTGACCATTTCATTCTACTCTGTAGCATTATTATAATTTTTCATGCAATAGATATAATACTTACACTGTTATTACGTAAATGGGATACGTCATGTCACTGTTGTGTTCGTGGTTTGAATTTATCCTGGAGTATACTCTTGTATCCTTGCATTAAGATTGTGTTAAACTTTTCTTTTTAAGGATGGTTAGTAAATTACGTAATTTTTATTACATTTTTAAACGATGTTTTCACTAACACGGTTTTCTCATATTAACCCCTTGAATGATATTGTCTGCTGATTGTATAATATCCTTAATGTTTTTAAATAAAAATTCATCATTGTTTTCTTAACACAACGACTTCATTAAAAATTTAATTTTGAGTCGTGTGCATTTAACAAGATTAATTTTTGACAGTTTTAATTTTATTAAGCGAGGTATTACTAATCATCCAGGTTCAGTTAAAATTAAATGACGTTTATCAAAAGTAATATAAAATGTTGTTTAGCCTATTTCATTTATTTGTTTACGTTGAAATCGTGTCTTTTCGGAACCCTTACTTATTATTATAATTTATTTTTTTCGTTTGAGAAAACGATTATAATTTGTATAAATTAATATCCATGGTGTTGGCTTAAACATTTGGGTAGCTTGGTTTTAAACATGCAGACTGTAAAATATTAATTTTTTTTAAATATAATAACAAATTCCAGCAAAAACTAATTTCATATAACTTTCTCAATGACAGATGTAAAAAAAAAATAAAATTACCAATATCTTGTATATAATTACTATCTATATTTTTATACTAAATATGGTTTGTTCCTTTGGTTTAATTATTGTCTAAAATCTAACAGGTATTGTTATACTGGATAACCACTAGTTTATTAAATTAATACGACATTTTAATAAAATAACAAATATAAGTATATTGTAAGTCTTTAATATTAAAAAAACGTACAAAAATTAGTAATAGTAATTAGTAATACTTAGTAGTAAAAATTAATAATGGTAAGTCGTTACTTTCCAGTGTACAAATATATGCGGTAATATCAGTAATAAACAAACTACAAATAATAAAAAAACATACTATGCAATGGCTCATTCCCTTAATTTATAGTTGACGGCAGGAAGTAACTATTACTTGAACGCAGAATTGATATGTTTTAGACAAAGTGTTTTAATCAAAATTTTTAAAAATGTTTTAAACAATTTATTTGAAACATCATCATCATTGTTTAAAACAAGTTTTTTTATTTAAGTGTTTTAAATTGATTTTTAAATAACTTACAGTTAATGTTAAAAATATGGGATATGTACTATATAACTAGGGACTTAGGAATTAGGATGTATAAAGAAAATTGTCTAATGCTGAATAGCATGGTACTAATAAAAAATTCCGCTTTATTGAATAAAATGGAACAATTCCAGATGATCAATTGATACAATAGATTTGAAATAAACAAAAAAAGAAAACAATTTTTTGTTGGTTTTTTATAAAAAAAACATGAAATATAAAAACTCTGCCAAACTGAAAATTGGCCGTACACATTAAACTAATTCTTTCTTAATAAAATACAGATATGTTATTGGTACTTATTCAGTTATATAATATTATATAGTAGTTACACAAAATGTTCCTGAATATTAAATCAAACAATCAGATATAAACTTTACGAGTTTTAGAAGAATAACTCTCAAAACGAAGATAAAGGTAAAAACAGATCAATTTTTAAACTAAACTCAATTGCGCAAGACAAATAAAAAAATATTGAATCACATTAATTAGCCAACCGTAATTATATCTGCAGCATCAGGTTAATAACCTTAGATGTTAACACTTTATTATTAAAAAAAATATTACCGTAGTACGTAGAAGACGTTGATAAACACATGATACTTTTATGCTCTGTTTCGACGGCGGTGGATCGTAAAGAAAACGCAATCGGAAAATGCCGATATAATATTATAAAAAGAAAAAGAAAAATCTCGCTTCTTCTCCTTTTGTCGTCATTATAATATTTTATTTCAATAACAGGTGAAGGGGGAGAAGAAATCTCAAATCACTCGTGTAAATAAATATTGCGATAACATATACATATAACAAAAGTAAAAAGCACAAGGTCTTATCATTGGGTGCCCAATTTCGCTAAAGCAGCAAAAGAGGAGTCAGTGTACAAATCCTATTATCTGAAAACACATTATAGTAGAGAGAATCTTTTTTTTTTTTTTGACATGGCGTTTACGTTTGAATGTCGGGGCTTACAAACGAGTTCGCGTATCATCAAATATGTATATGTAAAAGGTTCTGAATTGTTATAAAAATCTGATGTCAACAATTTACGGTTATTATCATGTACAGCTTGTTGTTACAATGACGTTATAATATATCATTATATCGTACACATTGTATGTTTTTTGAACTCTGCCGATATATTTTATAGAAAACGTGGACGTGCAGACGTATCGTACAGCACCAGTTTGCACTACACGCGTACAGACATGGTTGTACGGAATGAGCGATTTTTGTTTTCGCAGGTCGTTGAAGTTCAGTAGTACAACACCGCGCACGCCGCACATACAACTCCCCCAACGAAGGATGAAGTTTTGTGCGTTGAAAATCGACGCCGCCAATATTTTCATCCGGTAAACTATTATTAGTCTAAAGAACGAAAAACAAAACAATAATATTGTGAGGGAAAATTCGCCGCGTCCTGCGAATCGGTTCGACGGGTACAAGAATGCCAGCAACGCGTGTGATTAGATATAGCGGAGACGCGATGACGCGGGTGTCGCGCGCGTTTTTGAAAACCGGCGATCGTCGCGGTCGGAAGGGAGAGAAAAACCGCCTTCGTTGATTTGACATCCGGTCTCGGCGCGTGCTAATTCGTTGTCCGAGTAAACAATCGTTTCAGCGCCTCGTCCTCGCGCACAAAACAGCTCTTACTCGCGCGCACAGGGATATACGGGTATATCACGGTGGCGGGGTACGGTCTAGTGCACAACGACAGGTCTGGCCATGATAGAGGTAGAGGCGTTTTGTATTGAGTATAATCATCACGTGCGTTTTACCGTCGGCCAACACAACAACGTCTCGCGTCAACGTTTTAATTTATTTCGAGAGAAATCGCACACTTCGATTCTTCTCCCCGGCACCGTTTCTTTCGGAACGACGCGCCGTTCGCGTCTGTCTGAAGGACCGTGTATTATCATTATTATTATTATTGTTGTTGTTGTGAAAGGAGCAGAGGCGAGGGACGATTCGCAGACGCGTCTATTGTCAGAACGTGTATGTACATGCAACGTGCACGGAGAGAAATTCGAATACGAGCCGCGCCTGGTTAATCACTTTTTTTTTGTTTCCGGTTTTATCTCTCTCCGTTTCTTTTCACCGTCTGAGCGGTCGACGGGACAGACGTACGAGAGTAAATCCTGTCAAAGGCCAAGCGGGGGGGCCGTGTGCACCTAGACAACGGTTCGGACGCGTGACGCGCGGAGCAGTAGACTGTCGAATTATTCGCACGCGAAAGGAAAACAAGACCACGTACGAGATCAAACACGATCCGTGCGCACATGACGCACGCGCTCCCAACGGTTGAAAGGCCGCCGTTCGTGTTTCACGGCAACAGAAATTCGATGCGCCTAGTCGCGCGACAAAGCGAAGAGTTAACTCCCAAAGATTTGTTCCGCGTGCACGGGCCTGGTGCCCGACGTTTTTTTTATTCGTTGGTTCTCGATAAACCGTTTTTGAAGGGGAAACCAGTCGTTTCGCGCACGTACATGCAAACGGCGATACTGCTGCGAGACTATGACCATTTTAGGTGGTTCTGTTGCCCACGATTTATCGTACGACTGTCATTTTAATCATGCGGTTCAATTCGCCTCGAAAACGCCGCCTCGATCAGGCCCTCGCTTAAAATTTCATAAGTTGCGCCCGCGTTTTCTTTTCCGTGTCCTGAAGA